TTATCGTTTATTAGTTATAAAAAATCAAAATTTTTGATTGGTCAGCTGGCACATGATCTGCAAAGTAACCAATCATGGCATGATATTCAATTTGTGTGATCGACCAATCATGAGAAAGTTATCCTATATGCATCGATTAGTGGATTCAGCAAACGACCTGCAGATCGCCACCGACCCATCATCGGGATTTACTTATAAATTCGTAAATTTTTTAAAACTTCTAGCGATGATTTCTCAATAACTACTTGATCGAATTTGGTAAAAAAATTTTTTTATTTAATTCTATAATTTTGTATAATTAAAATAGAAAAAAATTCGTTGGAATTGGTTCAGTGGTTATCGAGAAATCATCACTAAAAGCCCAAAATATTGGGGAAAAAAAGCCAAAATTGGGTAAATGTTACTTTTTTGAACTTTAAACAAAGATTTCTCGACAACCAACTATCCAAATTTGATGAATTTTTTTTATTTTAATTATATGGTTTCATAGAATTAAATAAAAAATTTGATCGAATTTGAACAACTGGTTTTCATTAAAAGTTAAAAAATTGACTGTAACTTCTTTTTTTTAAAGACATTTAAACTTTGAACGAAGATTACTTGGCACTAATCTGATCAAATTCGGTCAATTTTTATTTTAATTCTATGAACTTATAGAATTAAAATAAAAAAATTTTGATTAAATTCGGCTAGGTAAGTGCTAAGTAATCTTCGTTCAAAGTTTCGGCGCCTATAAAAAAGAAGTTGCGGCCAAATTTTTTAAAATTTTACTAAACATTTCTCGACAATCAGCTATCCAAATTCGATAAATTTTTTTATTTTATTTTGATTCTATGAACTCAAAGAAAAAATTTTTTTTTATCAAATTTGGATAGTTTGTTGTCGAGAAATCTTTGTTTGAAGTTTTTTAAAAAATTTAACAAAGATAGATGTTGCAATGAATTTTCATTTAAACTTTAAACGAAGATTTCTCGACAACCAACTAACTGTAAATATTTAGTAAAATTTTTAGGCGCCGAAACTTTGAAAGATTACTCAGCACTTACCTGGCCGAATTTAGTCAAAATTTTTTTATTTTAATTCTATAAGTTCATAGAATTAAAATTAAAAATTTCTGAACGAATTTGATCTGAATAGTGCCAAGTAATCTTCGTTCAAAGTTTAGATGGCTTTAAAAAAGAAGCTACAGTCAATTTTTTTTTAACTTTTAATAAATGTTTTCGACAACCAGTTGTTCAAATTCGAGCAAATTCTTTTATTTAATTCTATGAAACCATAGAATTAAAATTAAAAAAAAAAATCATCAAATTTGGATAGTTGGTTGTCGAGAAATCTTTGCTTAAAGTTCAAAAAAGCAAAATTTTATCCTTTTAGTTTTTTTCGATATTTTAGGCTTTATTAAAACTTTTAGCGATGATTTCTCGATAACCACTGAGCCAAATTCAATGAACTTTTTTTTATTTTAATTATACAAACTACAGAATTAAATAAAATTTTTTTTTACCAAATTCGATCAAGTAGTTATTGAGAAATCATCGCTAGAGGTTTTAAAAAACTTTCAAATTTATAAGTAAATCCCGATGATCGATCTTCAGGTTGTTTGCTACATCTAGCGATGCGAACGGCTAGAGCCGAGCTATGAACCGAATGGCTAAGCCGAGCTAATCATCGGCTCGGCTATGGGTCTACTAATAATGTATCGGCTCCAAAATGGGGTCGTTTAAAGCCTGGTACCTTACGAAAGTACCCAATATATAACCCAGTCCGAACAAAACAAAGCGAAACAGCAAAGACAAAAACACGAAATATATAAAAAAACAGCTATCTGAACCGATCTTGGTTCACTAAGTAAAAGTGTCAGAAATGTGATTTTACTATATGTAAATACCTTCTATCAAATCCTAACACTAACCCTAATATTAATTAATTAAAAATCGGAAAAATCGGGAAAATAGGTAATTTCGTAAGGTGCCAGGCTTTAAACGACCCCAAAATGGCTTGGCTAAGACCTTGAAGTCAATCATCGGCTCGGCTATGGGCCTACTAATAAAGTATTGGCTCTAAAAATGGTTGACTATTAGCCAATAGTAGATAATCTAGTATCGTGACTTAAATTATGCTCAACTTATCGCACTTTTTTAAAAAATTAATTCAAAAAAAAAAAAAGCTAATGTTGCAACTAGTTAAAAGAATTCCTAACTGGCTAAATAAAAAAAATCAAACCCTAGTATCGCCATCAAAAATTCACGCCCACGTGATTGTTGGCCAATAACAGATCACAAAAACCGCCTATTTCTCAAAGTTTGTATAAGAAGTCACCTTTCGTGCACTAATAAAAAGTTTTCCTTGAACGATTTTACTATATAATCGCCTAAACCCAAATCTTCTTACCCAAACCCTAAACGAACTTAAAAAATTTTGTCGTGGTCACGTGGGGTGAATTTTAATGGCGATACTGGGGAAGATATGCCTCGACCTAAGGTCATGCCCGTGCCTTGAACCTTACGTCGGTGCCACGGGGGTGTCTGGGAAGGTATTGCCTAAAGAAATATAGTATGAGGTATAATATACGTAGTATACTAAAAATTAGAAAACGTATAACGTATATATATGTATATTTGAATATGCGTCAGATCTACTCACTTGTCGGACATACGTACAAATTGCCGCATAAACCACCCCGGGTCTGTTACTTTAAACCTGCGTGAAAATTGATTCAGACCCGGGGGAGTCTGCTGTACGGAGGAGGGTCTGTTGTGCGGTAAAAAGATTATTGACCAATTAAAATCAAGCAATCCTATGACGGATATATAATACGTGACCACATAATAGACCCGGGTCTTATACTTTTTACCTTTCGCTGAACCCAAGTAACAGACCCGGGTCTGCTAGAAGGGTCTTCTATAAAGGGGGTGGTCTATGCGGACTTTAAATTTCTGTCAATTAAAATTTGATACAAAATTTTAAAATAAGCACGTCATATTCTAATTACCGTATTCCGTTCGCCAAAGTACCCCGGGTCTTTTACAAATTTGGGCGTCTTGAAGCTTGAAATAGCTTGAAATCTGAATACTCATAGCAAGATTTCTGGATATTTTATAGGGGGGTACTATACATGGGGGTACTTTGGAGAACGGAATACGGTAGTAATTTTATTAACGTTAATAATAATAAATTATCACGAATTAAAAAAAAAAGAAACAAACGGAATAAAAGAATAAACAACTTTATTTATTTTTTATACTACATACAAATTATTATGCCATTTACGATACCTTTACTACACTATTAAAAAAACTACCTTATAGAACAACAAAACATCTTGAAAATGATAAAATTTTTGAGAATATATTATTGGATTTTTTATGTTATCGCCATAGCGATGTTAACGTTACCCCTGAGATTTAGTTGTCATATCACGTATGTCGGGTTTCAATATTAAAACTCCACTTATGATTAGTAATATAGATTACCTATAAATTACTAATCATAGGCGAGTTTGAATATTGAACCCCAACATCACGTGATGCGACAATTAAGTTTCGGGATTTTGTTGATTTTTGGGATTTTGATTTGACATAGACCCGGGTAGCTATAGCGATAAATTATAAAACCCTTATATTGTTTAGTACAGGAATAAATTTAAGAATTCACTATTACAGTATTAACTATTATTTCTTTGATTTCTTGATTAGGGGGTCGTTTAAAGCCTGGCGATTTTTCCAATTTTCCCGATTTTTAATTAATTAATATTAGGGTTAGTGTTAGGATTTGATAGAAGATATTTACATATAGTAAAATCGCATTTCTGACACTTTTACTTAGTGAACCAAGATCGGTTCAGATAGCTGTTTTTTATATATTTCGTGTTTTTGTCTTTGCCGTTTCGCTTTGTTTTGTTCGGACTGATCCGGGTTATATATCGGGTACTTTCGTAAGGTGCCAGGCCTTAAACGACCCCTTGATTAGATGTTTCGTGATCTTAGTATGGTGTGTAACATGTTTCGTAAAATCTTTCAATAGATAACTTGAGTACCACGGTTATGTTTTATCTGATTGAACATTTAATCCTTCAACAACTTCAATTGTTTTAAAGATATTAACACCCAATTTTTGAAGATTTGGTTTTCATGTTAATTTGACGAGTTTTGTAAAACAGCTAGAAAGCGATCAACAATTTTTTCAAAGGTTTTTTTGAAGCGAATGAAATGAAAAACCAATAAAGTATTCGAAGTCGTGAAGAAAATTTTTTTAAAATTCTTTTTACATTAAAATATACTTCATTAAACTTGCTTATATTTGACATATAGTACATATTAATCGATATAAATTTTAAATTTTTAATCGACAGTTATTTAAAAGTGACTTCTAACAAATACACATAAGTATGACCAGTATAATAGTATTTACTACACACAAGTATGGTCGATATAATAGCTTTACTATACACATGAGTATGAACTACTTTCGCACTCATACTATATACTTTAGGTAGAAATCTCAAGATATATAGAATATTATAATTCTTTAAATTATCCTGCAGGAAAATTTGTCTAACTATAATCAATCACTCAAGACTAATAATGATGATAGTATGGTGGTTTGAGGAATAGTGAAAGTTTATGGAAAATAAACTAAAAAATTTTATCTTTGTTTTGCATACTTTTCTATTTCTAATCTTAAATTATAATCTGCATAAAATGAAAGTATAAATACATATAAAGATTCAGGAAAAAGGAGAAACACGTTTAGACTTTTTTTTAAAAAAAAAGTTCTTGAGTGAAAAAATCATATAATTTGCTTATCCGAAGTGTGATCCCGAAAAAATAAAGTCCTGGAATTGAACTGCTTGATTTTCCGTTTCTTGTACAGTAAATGGATTTGTACCATTAGTTAAAATTTTATATTTTTGTTCGGCAGTAAGATTATGAAAAGGTGAATTTACAGGAATATTAACGTTTTGAGGTGCCAAAGGTTGACCTCTAACTGCTTGATTTGTAGGTTGATTCATAATGGTAGTTTTAAAAAAAAGAAAGCAAAATTTTGGATTTTTATAGTTTTATCATATGGTGAATACAGATAGCGGAATGATTATAATAATTATACATTAGATCCTAATAGCACACACTAAAGTCACAAGTTTTTAATGAATAAAATATTATAATGTAATTAAATGTAAAAAAAAAATAACTATAAATTATAGTACGGTCACTATTGATCATGAAGATTACACCGTCATCCATACTTACACTACACTACACGAACAAAGAGATGTTTAATAAAACATAAACGGTATAGTTTATTACCGTACTATGAAATTTTTTTGATTGTTTGTTGTCACTTATATATTTTAATTAGTCTAGATTTTTTGGTGATCATTTATTTAATATAAAAACTGGGTCTCCCTTTTTAGATGTGCAGATTGCGCCTTTCTTTTTAGTAAAACTATTTTGATATTAATTGACATTATCTATGCAATTTTTTTCAGGTCTTTTTTATGTATAATCGCTACTTAATTCATTTAAAAAAGGTTTCAAATAAATAAATTTTTTTTTCAATAAAAAGACTTATTTGGCTTCGTAACTTTGTTCTTTGAAACTTAACCTTAATGTGTGCAAATTTTGGATTTATAATAACCAGTTTTAAGGGCTGTACATCTAATTAAATTTCATAGTCTTTGAAATTTGCAATCAAAAAACATAACAATTGACTTTGTTTCACCAAAAATCTTCAATATTAAATTTTTTATTTAGTACCATATATAGTTTTGATTTATATACGTCAGGGCTAATTTTTTTTGTACCCCAAAATTTAAGGGGGTACTAACCGACTAGTTGGGGTTAGATTGTTATTTGACAGATATTGTTACATTTTTATTATGCTATGTTAAATT